TATGAAAGTGTATATGTGAAATGATATAAGTGAAAATGCCCATGTTATGTGTATTGAGAGCTAGAGGTATAGTTCGCATGCCAAGAGTCGAGGGTCTACGCGGTCCTTCGGGACATAGTGGTCCTTTGGGACATATGTGTTATATGTAGTCCTTTGGGACATCTACATGGTCCTTTGGGACAAATTCTACGTGCCTATAGTGGGAATTATACGAGCTGTGGTGACAGCATAGTGCACAACCTCAATAGACTCATATATCTACAGTTCTCACATGTGTACATGGGCTAATAAGAGATGATATTGAATATAATGTATGAGATATGTATGTTTTGGGATATGAATGATATGACAGGATATCTGTGTGTTAGTGATTATTGTATATGTTATAAGATATATGATATGAACATAATAAATCATATGAACAAGAGAATAGAAATATGAATGATAATAAAATGATAATGATGGGAATGAAGATAATTATATGCATGTATGGATTTGATGGATGAACCGATATATGTTTGGGTATGTTATGGTAGCAGTAATTGTTCATGCATGATTACAAGTTATAGTTTACATTATATGTTTATTTGCCTCACTAAGTCATCGAGTTAGCGTGTAAGTGATTTATATGTAGGTTTCGAGAAGAGTAAAGAGCAAGGTGGAGCAAGACAGATCTGTTCTCCTTACAGAATGTCAGATCAGAAAATGGGTGAATAATATGTCTTTTTGTATATAAAGTTCTAGTTGGCATGTATTCAAAAGAATATATTGTATAAGCTCTGAATAGTTTTGTAAATGCTTTGAATAAGTTATATGTAGATGAATAAGTGAATTATGCATGCTCTGATCGGTTTTTTTTTACAATAAAGTAAATGTATTTGATGTTAGTTAGTCATTTATATGTTATAAAAGTTTTAAATTACTCTTTATTTTATACAAGTAAATGTTTTGAAAAGTTAATGTGACACCCCGTACTCGTATTCGGGTCGGATTCGGGTTGGGGGTGTTACATTTAATGGTATCAGAGCTAAGGTTTAGCCGATTCTAGGCTTAAACCGAAGTTAAATGAGGTTTAAAAACGTGTACATGCCAACTCAAAGTGAAAATTTCTGATATGATAATGTAAGAAGTATGATGTCTTGCTAATAGAATAAGATTTGTATGATATAGTAGAAATTGATTATAAAAATTATCGAAGTGAATCGATAGGGGACAATCTGATGGTGATAGCAATTCACCTACCCTGGCCAGGCAGGGAGAAGAGCGAAAGCCTCAGGGAATGCTTGTATAAGATTAGAAAATGTTTCATGATGTTGATTGAATGTATAGAAATAGTTAAAAGAGTTAAGAGCACCTGAGTTCAAGGGTGAATTTGAGAAAGGTTATGTTGTTACAGACCTTTGAATAAATGATATGAAGATGATGTTAGATGGTTTTTATTTCTCCAAAGTGGAGAAGTTAAATTGAGAAGTTTCTTTATTATGAGAGAAAGCTAGAGTATGGTGGACAAATGTCACCATAAGAACGTTAAAAGATCAAATGATGTGGTTAGAATTGTAGAAGAGTTCAACAATAAGTGCATCAGTGATACGTTTATAAATTGAATGAAATCAGAGTTATGGATTTGAAATAAAGAAATAGTATGGTGTATAAGCAAGAGTATGGATATGATAAGGGTTGGTACGTTAGAAGAAAGAGTTAGCGTTGACTAACAAGATTACATGATGAAAATTGTGTTGATTATATGAATGTGATATAGTGAAGGAAATAATGATTCTTATGTTTGAGCGAAGATAAGGAAGTATGAAAGAAAAGACATGATCGATGTTATAAGGATATTCTGATTTATGGAAAGTAATGGAATAAGGAAAAAATAGAGTTTACAACATTAGATATGATAAGGGTTATACAAGAAGTATTGAGTATAAGTTTGATATAGAAATGAGAAAAGCGCGTAAAGTAATATGAAAAGATCATGTGTATTGAAGTACAGACGATGATTAAGAAATGATGAAAGGTCGGATGTATATGATTGGTTAATTAGGGCTTGTGCCCTAAATTGAGTAGTTGTTATTAATTAGTTGTAATATTAAAGGTGATAGAGTTATAAGATTTGGAAAAGAAGATAAGGATTTTGTATAAGAACAAGAATTTTGGGCAATTCATACGGATTATAAGAGTTACGAAGATTGCTTTGATTATATAAAGTATATGTTTAATCACATTTGAAGAAGATTTAAAGTTTGGTATTTTTATAAGGTAATTTGAGGATAATGAAGAAATAGATGGATTAATGATATGGAGTGATGAGAATAGAGGTTATTGTTTATATGATAAGTAACAGTGGATGAATATATAAGGGAAAAAGGTAGTTGAAGAACTAAAGGAATGAAAGATTAAGTAATGGAAACAATATAAGAACATTAGAAGATATGTTCTTATCAATGTGTGCAATGAAAATTCGAGGACGAATTTTCTTAAAAGGAGGGGAGATTTGTAACATCCCAATCTATGGGTTAGTGACTAAATTGTAAAATTTCAGAACTTGGTGACTAAAGTAGAAGAATGGAATAGTTTAATGATTTATTTGGAAATATTACCTGAAAGAGGTAAGTAATTATTAGATATAGTGAAGGGCATAAGGGTCTTTTGTAAGGGAAATAATTAAATTAAAGAAAGGTTATATATTAATCACGTGGAAGGGAAGAGAAATCTACAAGCTTCCAGAGTTCTCTTTCTCTTCTTTTTCCTTCATGCGCGAGAACCCAAAACAAAGGTGAGTTTCTGGTTAGTTAGTTTCTTGTTAAATTTAAGATGGGTTTATGATTATTAGATGATAACTAAGCTTAAGGAAAGCTTAAGTTATCTTAAAATCAAAAGATGAAGGAATTAGAAGAGATTAAAGATTATGAGTTTTTGAATGAAATTTTGTTATAGAGTTAATAATTAGAATTGGAAGTTGGATTTGACTTGTCATCAATCTAAATAAGGAATAGAAAGTGTTAGGATGAGATTTAGAACATGTTGATATTTGCGTATGATTCTTGAATGTCATATAAAGGATATGATTTGGAGGTTAAAGAAGTGATTATTGAGTAAGAATGAGTGTAAATATGTGTATTAAAGTTAGGAATATTAAAGGAGGAGAAAGATGAAGAGTTGAGATGAAAAGATAGTGGATTTCGTGCTTGAAATGGAATTTATGGGTTGTGTGCATCGATGCATCTTCAATGTGTATCGATGCACTCTCAAATAAATGAACATCGAATGCAATTAGTGCATCGATGCACCTGCTTATAATACAAACATCAAATGAGATTTATGCACCGATGCATAGATAGTGCATCGATGCACCCGTCAAGGGATGCATCAATATATGGTGTAGTGCATCGATACATACCTTCATTAAGAGATGAAATTAGCCTTTCTTTTAGCCTAAGAAGTGATAGTTTAGAATATATCAATTAGTATACTGATAAGTATTAATGTATTACAATGTAGATATAGAAGGAAAGCTTGTTCCGAAACAATCAAAGAATTAGGATTGATTCAAAGCAAACAAGGCTAAGGTGAGTGCATATGATTATAGTATATGATTATATGGAAATTAGACTTGCGATGAGTCTATTTCCATGTTCTAGTTTTTATGAATGCATGAAAATAAGTATAGTTAGTAGTCGTTAGTTTGCGAATATGTATTGTTATGTTCTTTTCTTTGTAATGATGTGACTCTGTGATATAAGTTATATGATCATAAACTAGGTAAATAATAATGACTTATGTAATAACAAGAGAATATGTAATAGAAGTTATATGATGAGGATCTATGTTTTTATATGTCTATGAGAAGTATGTGCTATGTGACATATATATGAGCTATGTGATCCTATGAGAATATGAAAAGAGATATGTGAACATGTGAATTATATGAAAAGTGATATAAATTACATGAAAAGAAGCTATATGTCTACATATATATGTGAAAGAAGCTATGAGCTTATATGAACATGTGATATGAAAGTGTATATGTGAAATGATATAAGTGAAAATGCTCATGTTATGTGTATTGAGAGCTAGAGGTATAGTTCGCATGCCAAGAGTCGAGGGTCTACGCGGTCCTTCGGGACATAGTGGTCATTCGGGACATAGTGGTCCTTCGGGACTTATGTGTTATTTGTAGTCCTTTGGGACATCTACGTGGTCCTTCGGGACAAATTCTACGCGCCCCTAGTGGGAATTATACGAGCTGTGGTGACAGCATAGTGCACAACCTCAATAGACTTATATATCTACAGTTCTCACATGTGTACATGGGTTAATAAGAGATGATATTGAATACAATGTATGGGATATGTATGTTTTGGGATATGAATGATATGACAGGATATCTGTGTGTTAGTGATTATTGTATATGTTATAAGATATATGATATGAACATAATAAATCATATGAACAAGAGAATAGAAATATGAATGATAATAAAATGATAATGATGAGAATGAAGATAATTATATGCATGTATGGATTTGATGGATGAACCGATATATGTTTGGGTATGCTATGGTAGCAGTAATTGTTCATGCATGATTACAAGTTATAGTTTACATTATATGTTTATTTGCCTCACTAAGTCATCGACTAAGCGTGTAAGTGATTTACACGTAGGTTTCGAGAAGAGTAAAGAGCAAGGTGGAGCAAGACAGATCAGTTCTCCTTACAGAATGTCAGATCAGAAAAGGAGTGAATAATATGTCTTTTTGTATATAAAGTTCTAGTTGGCATGTATTCAAAAGAATATATTGTATAAGCTCTGAATAGTTTTGTAAACGTTTTGAATAAGTTATATGTAGATGAATAAGTGAATTATGCATCCTCTGATCGGTTTTTTTTACAATAATGTAAATGTATTTGATGTAAGTTAGTCATTTATATGTTATAAAAGTTTTCAATTACTCTTTATTTTATACAAGTAAATGTTTTGAAAAGTTAATGTGACACCCATGACTCGTATACGGGTCGGATACGGGTTGGGGGTGTTACAATAAATATTTAAAATTTAGGACTTATTTTGTTGATTTTTTTCCCAATGTGATGAGCAGGTTACCGGACAACATAGCCAGGTAGCTCCTTTGTCATCGGGGACTTACTCAGCTTCTGGACAGAGTGGTGGTGCTGGAGGTCCCGTAAGTCCAATTACGATCGGAGAAGCACTTGAAGCAACCGCTCTTACAGCAGGGAAGAAGCCGGTAGATTGGAGTGATGCAGCCGCAATACAGGCGGCATGAGTGAGAGCCACAGGTCGTACCACCATAATTCCCGTAGGTGTTGGCGCCGCAGCTCAGTCTGCTGCCAATCTCAATGCCCAGGCAACTACAGAAGAGGAGAAGACCAAGTTAAGAGATATCCTATCAGTAAGTAAAAGCAGCAGTAGCAGTACCAATCTAAAAAAAAATAAGATATAATAATTGTAGGTATCGCAGGTTGATTATAATAGAAAATAGCAGTCTTTTACTACAATATTTTTCGCGGTTATCATGTACCATTATGGGTTGGGTGCAATATTTGATTTAATTGAAATGCAGAACGCAACGGAGAAGTTGCAATCAGATAAGGCAGCAACAAAAGGTGACGCAGAAGGGGTGAAGGTTGCAGAGATGAGTAATGATCCAACGCTCACTACACATCCGGCGGGTGTGGCAGCTACTGTGGCCACAGCTGCTAGGCTCAACGACAAGATTGCCAAATGAACCATATCCATCTATCACATGGAAAATATCACTTGAAATACATACGAATAAGACGAAAGATTCGCAAGTTGATTACGTTGTTTTATTTGCTGCGAGTAAGGAGTATCCATTAACCAGGTGATATGAATTGTATAGTTCACATGGATAACGTGTCCATGCATTTTTATTTCTTTTTGTAAATCAATTCAAAAGAGATAAAAATGTAAGATAATGCATTACCAAGACTTGTTTCTGAATTATATTACCAATGTAGGTTGGTGTTTTTTGAAGAACTTCATACACATCGAGTACTGAAACCAGGTAAGCCATCGGCAAGTTACCCTGACAAGTAAATCAGTTTATGGTATAGTGAGTATATAACAGCATTTAAAGTTCCTTTCCAGTTCCAATTGTATTACCAATTGTTGCAGCAAGAGAAACCCCCTTGCTACCGTTGAAAATGTTCCAAGCATAGATTTCCACCCTGACCCTGCACAAATAAGTTGCATTTCTTGGAAATCTTAGCAAATAAAAATTGGAACTGGAAAGGAACTTAAATGGCACACAAATTAAAATAGCATGTGCCTCACTAGCAACCAGCACTGCTGCATTTCTAGCATCATTGTCAACACTCCACTCAATTCCTGCCACTCACAAACCAAAGTATGCAACGGACATCATTAACGGTAATTAAAATTCATGAATCAAGAAACCATGAAATAGTTACAAGTTTACGGATACCAAACTTTTCTGCTGGGAGAAAATCAACAAGGAGTCACAAACCAAAGCTAACGCTTGCCTGAAGGTAGCAGCAGCAGTGCTGGAAAAAAAAATTAACGAAATGTATAAGCTTAATCAGAAAATATGGAAACATCACTACAAGATACGAAGCATATAAGAGAGAGGTTGCTCATAATATTCTTGATATACAGGGCAACTTACTTTCGAACACTGTTAGAAGATCGGTTGCTTTCAAGAAGTTGAAAGACAGATTCCAAGAGCTTGAGCCATATTCTCCTGGACGAAACAGTAAACAAAGAACCATTTCAATGCAAAACCATTTTCTCTATTTGTTTTTTTTTTGGTTGCTACTCAAGCTAGCCAATAGACATTGACCCAATGTATACTTAAAATATTCACATCGACACCATACCTTAAAACTATGCACCTATATTCGATGCATGATCTAATAATTCACTACAGAATGCATCGAATTAGTTGCAAAATACTCCAAAGCTTGCTTATTCTTCACTTAAAAATATTCTTGTTCAATGAACTTCAGTCAGACTATTTGCAGACTTCAATAAACACAATGCACAAACTAGTTTCAGACAATAAAAACAAACACATGAGCATTGTTTACCTCACTTTGAGGATGCAACTGACTGAAATATTTTTAATATATTCTATAAAGTCTTTAATTGAACACTCGCGTCTGACATTTCAGCATGCTGCAAAGAACAACATATTGAAAAAAAATCATTTTTCACTAAAAAACTTATGTTGAAGATGAACATATTGTGCATGTCAAATACAGCCATCAATTTACATCTCTTAAAGTGGGGAGTATCTCATTGAGAACTGAAGGGGCAACTGCATCATGAGATATGAGCTTTTGCAGATATGAAAGTCCAATGACACTAAGCTTGACAGTTTTGATCTCACATGCCATTAAAGAAACCGTATGTTGCTCAAGTTAAACCCTTCATCAGAGCAACAGCACATAGACAGAATTCATTGAATGTCTGAATTGCAGTTTTTGTGGAACTTCATTGTATATTGCAGAAATGATAAAACTGAAGTTTTGTCATCTCTTAAACTAATGATAAAACTAGTCAGCAGTTTTGTCATCTAAATTTCTAAAACAAGTAAAGTTCGATGCCGAAACATGTCCAGGAAACCACCTTTTTAGGTATAGCCATAACCCAAATTTCCAAATAAATTATTCTTTTTCTCAACAGAGATGATTGGAACTTGTATGAATTTACATTAGAAATCAAATTTGTAACCGGTTAGTTCATTTTGCAGACCTCAACTTCCCAAAAAAAAGCCAGTTATTTGGCCGTTTGATTTGAAAACTGCGAAGCCATGTTTGCCAGCATCCCACATTGGAAAGGTAAACAATATGGAGGGAAGGTTAGTGATATAAATATGAAAAAATATAAACTGTACCCCTTACATACCTGGACGGGGTCAATGGGCGATCAGAGATGCCTATGGCCTAGGTTGGCGGCCTCTATTGCACATTATTGAGGTGCATCAGCCTAACATCTTCCATTTGTCGAGAGTGTACGTCATAATTTGTGGTAGTTGGGGGCTAGTATTTGTGCGGCCCCCTCCAACAACTAATAAAATTAATAATAAACTTTGCGACTTTGGAACTATTGATGATAAGTCTCTTATATCTCGTAATAGAGACGTTATAAAGAAAAAAAAATTCGTTTTGATTAAATTTGTACATAGTTTTCAAGACTCTTATAACCTATAAAAACAGCTGAAACACCTGAAAATAAAGCCAGCAACACCAAAATATATCACAAGTCGTCATTCGAATTAACCAATGATGCATTTTTGTAGCCATTTCCGATGGTGAAAAAGTTGTTCTCCCAGTATAATAAGCTCTCATGCAAAATAACCTTGTTGAATCTTGTTGGAAGGAAGGCTTAAGCACGTATCATGTGAAAAACATGTTGTGACAACTCAAATTCGATCATGTAGCCAACCAGTAGCCCATAAATCTCTCATGCCAACATCCACTAGTGGGTAACTGACTCTAGCTTGTCTTTATGCCTTGACATTACCCTCATCGACAACCCAAGAAGAACATAAGATGCACGAGAATAGGCCTTTCAAGGCTGTAAGGATGGTTAAAACTTAAGCATCTCGAGTACTCGATCAAACCAATTGATTTGAGTTTACACTTTTTTCACCAGCCTACATTCCTTTCGTTAGTCCATAAAACCTACTTCCTTCGGATGATGATGTGGGGGTCGCGGTCGAGCTTCAATGCAATTAGAACCCCCCCCCCCCCCAAAAGGGTTGCATTCTCTTCTTCCTTGCAAAACCCCTCTTTATCCCTAAATTCCCAAATCCATATTCCTTCACCTCTTTACTCATAAACAAAACCAAGGAAACATAAACCCAAGCGCCCCAAACTCGACTTTCCCTGTACCAAATCCGTCACGCCTGACTCCAACAAAACCCCCCACTTCGAATCGCTCCTCATCCGTGACGCGAAATTCTGATCCCTGTCCAAAAGGACCAAAACCCATTTGGCGCAATTCAGCAGTAGCAGTCGCCAAAAGGGACTGTCTGCTTCATGCTGAAGCACTAATCCCACACTGATGAAGTACACGAAAGGAGAAGGACCGTGGTCTTATAAATAAGAAGCAACTAGCACCTGTACAAAATACTTACCTGGACGGGGTCAATGGGTGATCATCAAGGTCCATGGCCTAGGTAAACGACTTCCATTGCACTTGGGAGGGGCGTTTGCTTAAGGTCTCCTCAAAGTAGGAGAGCCTACGTCATAATTTGTGGCAGTGGGGGCTTGCGTTCGCGCAGCCCCCGTCCAATTTCAGTATAAATCATATTTGAGTAGTCTGTTATTTATATCGCTTCTCTGTAAACAATGTTTAATTAATTTCAATCTAGCGTTATGATTTTTGTCGATTAGATAATTTCGTCTTCAATTCGTCTTCTACAAGAGGCCTGGGTTTGCTTGCCGGTTGTAATTCACATTACCAGTTTGCAGACTTTCATCTAGTTTACGAGGTTGGTAAAAGATTCTCTGCCATACCTGAAAGAAATGATATTGATAACACAATTGATTGTCCCCACTTCAGTTTTCATCTTCACAAATAGAGGGAGGTTTCAATTCGAACTGTTTACTACTACTTCTCAAAGGTACTGTCTAATTCTGCACGGCTAGTCAGAGCAAAACTATTACCGATAAACTTTGGGCTGAAAACTGTTCATTGAAATATTTTTTTTTTGTTTTGTTTAATCTTGCAACAAACAAAGAAGCTTCCATACCATGGCCAGATGGTAGATATCACCTTGCTCTAATCTGAGTAGAAAATCTAACACAGCAAAGCTACCTTATTATTTTAGTGTTTTCTGATAACTCGAGAAAAAGAGAAGCTTCCATTGGAAATTTTGGTGTGCTGTTTGAAAACCGAGTTAAGGAAGACCACCTGTTTAGGTTCAAAATTCAAAGATTTGGATAGTCTTAATGGATTCTTTGATTAATATTTTTGGTTAAACCAAGGATTAAGGATTTACCTTGGCGTCCAAGTGAATATAGGCAGATCATGGAATCGTAAGTGAAGGGAAAAACAATTAGTAGTTTGAGTGAAGAGATTTTTTATACTAAGGCAATGTCCCACACCGAGGAAATACATGCATGGACCACTTGGACCGGGTCAATGGACGACCATCAAGGTTCATTGCCTAGATATGTGACTTCCATTGCACTTGGGAGGGGTGCCTGTTTAAGGTCTCCCCTTAGTGGGAGAGGCCGAGAGGCTACGTCATAATTTGTGGTAGTGGGGGCCTGCGTTCGCGAGGACCCCCATCCTATATCAATTATGAATATTTTTTTGCTGGCTTCATTAGATTATACCATTTGGTTATATCCTCGAGGAGCACTTCAATTTTTGTATCCTTGACAATTCTACTATGTTTATCCTATCAACAAATGAGGGCCTTTAAGGGTTCGTAATTGAAAGTCCGAATTTTATTAAATCTCGAAAAGTATTCATGATGCATTTAAACATGATTTGTTTTTCTGTTTAACCTCACAACAGAGGGGGCTTCACTACCCTTGTTCGCACAACATTCCTTATTCTACCAGTATAAAACTAAACTAGCAATTTTGAGAATCCATCATACGAAATATTGACATGCCGCTCGACAACTAATTTCTCATCTCCATCATATCATATAGTCATCAATATCTTTGAAGCTAGGATTTGATACATTTCAAGGCTCGAAAACCATGTTTTCCGCTTCACGCTTCACAGGCTCGAATAGCACAGTAGAGAGATAACGCTCTCCGAAGCTAGGGAAGACCACCTGTTTATGTTCTAAATGCAAATGATTAGAGCAGCTTCAGCTTAGCTTTGGGGTACCCGAAACTAGGAAAGTATCTTATCATGTTATATGCCTGTATTGCCTTCAATGGCATGCTTAGACAAAATAATGCAGGATAGACTTCAGAAATAAACAAATAAAGACTTACAACAATGAGTTTCCCGGCATTCTCTGGCTTCCTAGCTATCTGAATTGCAGCAGCAGCACCGGACGATATACCGACATGTAATACGTATTCCAAATAATTATCAATTACGAAAACCACAGAACGAGTCAGAAGAAAATTGTGAATTCAGATTACGGGTTAATACTTTCAAGGCTATTGATTTCCTAATCAAGTTAATATCACTTAAAGTGAAGAAACTTACCAACAATCCTTCTTTCAAGGCAAGTTGCTTTGCAGTTTTAATAGCTTCTTTACTTGATATCTGTCGTCATACAAGTAATAATCATTACAACAACTAACGATAGCAATATGTGTGTGTGGAAGAAAAGCTACAAACGAAGACAGCTTATGCTCATAAATGTCAAATATGATCATATTTCTTTCACTATAATCCTCTAATATATATATATAAACCCTAGTAGGAGGAATCTATTCTACTCCAACTCTTCATTTTTGCTGAAGTAATAGTGTCCGACACATATTTGGACATAGGCATGCAAATATGACCTTCAAAGGATTGTGTTGGATTTTCGGAAGCTCGAAACGACAACCGGAACGATTTGCAAAGAGGGGTCGGAACGGTTTTGTGTTTAGGGAGTAAGGAGATTAAAAGATAGAGAATTGCACAACGATTTATAGTGATTCGACTTTCTCAATCAAAGTCTACGTCTACTACCTTAGCTCCTCACCAAGGATTTTCCAACAAATTCACTAATTTGTTCTTTCTTTTGAGGATAAAGAGTAACCTTACAAACCCCCTAGTTTTTTCGGGCTAAACTAGAACCTTTCCCTAGCTTTTACACGGGATTAGCTAGAACCTTTCACCTTTACAAAAGGATAAGAAATGTAAACAAGAAAACCTCTCTAAGGTATGTGTTTACAAGATTGAGCTCACAAGAACAAAATATTTACAAGAGAAAGATGAAATAAGAATGAAAAACTCTTCTCTTGTGTTTGATTACTTAGATAGTTGTTCTCTTGCTTCTTCAAGTGTCCTTAACTTGTATTTATAGCTTTGAATGTGTTTGATGTTGTATATAGCCGTTGGGGATGTTTTGGAGTCGTTTGGAGATGATTTTTCTACTCAAAAAGGCTGCTCAAAACATGATGCATCGATGCATGATCAAGGTGCATCGATACCCCTTCATTAAATTCAAATAAACTAGCCGTTGCAGCCTTGATGCATGGATGCATGGCAGGATGCATGGCAGGATGCATCGATGCATGGCAAGGATGCATCGATGCACTAATTGCATTCGATGTTTGGATGCATGGATGCATTGCCTGATGCATCGATGTATTAGTGCAGATGCATGGATGCACTACAGGGATGCATGGATGCACTGCAGGGATGCATGGATGCACTGCAGGGATGCATGGATGCACTTTGACACCCTTTAGCATTTTTGCTCAAATCCGAATTTAATGGACTTTGAATTATTTTTGAAACCTTTTGAAAACTTTGAATAAATTCAATTCAAATCCAAAAACATTTTGCAAATTCAATTCAAGTCCAAAAACATTTTGCGTTAAATTGTTATATCAAAACATTGTTCAACAATCTCCCCTTTTTTTGATATAACAAAACATTTGAAAAATTGTTTTTGGCAAAACTCCCCCTTAATAAAATGTTTAATGAAAAAGATATCAATTGTTGGAAGATATATGAAAATGTTAAACTCCCCTTTTTCATTAAGAAATTGAATTTTTCAAACCAAACTTCTCCCCCTTTTTGTTATATCAAAAATAATTCAATATTTGAAGTTCAAAATAACTTTGGAGAGTAAGTAGTAAATTTGTCATTTAAAAATCATTTAAAAAAAAAATTAAAGCTCCCCCTTAATAATAATATTCCAAACAAAATTAAGCTTTTAAGTTCATGACACTTAAACAAAATATTGAATTTCTACAAAGAATAACAAACATGTTAGAGGCACATGAAATTCAATATATCCAAATCTAAAATACTTTATGCAATACCAATTGTTGAAATTTGATATTAATATCAATTGTTAAAATTAAGTGCATTTGCATAAAGTTTTCCAAAAATGTTATGCATTTTGAAAATTTTGATATCAATTGCTAGAGAGACAACATTTTCATTTAGACCACATGCATAAACATTCAAATTTAGGCCAAAAATTAAAATTTATAAAATCAAAGTATTTTGAAATTTGATATCAATTGTTAGATAGATATCATTAGCATTTAAAACCAATTTTGACCAAAATTCATTATGATGAACTAAAAATTCTCAAAAATTAATATAACTTTAAAATGTTAATGATAATCATCTTTTCAACATACATGAGATTAAAACAATGATGCATAATCATTTAAAACCAAAACTCATGCATGCTTAAAATCAAATGAGCAACCAAATAACCAAAATTAAAAGCATTAAGCTTAGAGGTTACCCATTCCTTTTTCAAGTGTGGCTAGAACATCTTGAATATCATCATTTTCATCACAATTGCTCCCACACACCTACAAAAGACATTTATTTTGATTTTGGTATCCAAATTGCTTTGGATCCTTGAACGTTAGTTTCAATGCCCCTTGTTCCTTTCGGAATCCATACTTGTCTAATTTTAAAATATTTTCCTTTCTTCAAAGGACAAGTATGTTCCAAATGACCATGAAAATGGCAATGTGAGCATTTTGCCATTTTTACACATAATAGGTTATTTTTAGAAATTAATTTTTTTTCTTTTGTTAAGCCTTCAAGCTTAACTTCTAACTCAAAATTTTTCTTTTCTAAATCATTTATTTTGATTTTTGAAAGCTCTAAATCATTTTTCAAAATTTCATTTTGATTTTCAAGATCAACTTTTGCTTTCAAAATCAAATTATCTTTAATTTTGAGTTTTGAAATTAATTTCGTATATTTGGAATTCATGGTCTCAAATCCCAAATACAACCTATTATAAGCATCTTGTAACTCATCAAAAGTAAATGAATTAAATTCATTTGAGTTAGAAGATACCTCAACTTCTTCATGAGTGGTCATGAAGCATAGGTTGACTACTTCATCTTCATCATTGGAATCATCTTCATCACTCCAAGATTCAACAAATGCCTTCTTCCCCTTTTTCTTTAGAAGAGGACATTCATATTTGACATGCCCTTTTCTTTGACAATTGAAGCACACCGGAGGACTCTTCTTCTTGGTTGATTCATGTTTTACTTTCTTAGAAATCATGAATCTTTTGAGTTCCTTCAAGAGCTTGACCATCTCTTCTTCTTATTCATCGTCTTCTTCATCCACCTCATCACTTGATTCTTGATAGCTTTCATTGGTGGATTTGAAGGTAATGCCTACCTTTTTCTTCTCTTCCCTTTCTTCATCTTCCTTCACCATCATCTCATGAGTGAGAAGGGAACCAATTAGCTCTTCGAGAGTGAGAGACTTTAGGTTTTTAGCTTCGATAATGGTCGTCTTCTTCGATTGCCACTTATTTGGAAGAGAGTAAATCACCTTCCTCACAAGCTTCTCATTAGGGATTGCTTTTCCATATATCTTGAGACCGTTGACAATCACGGAAAATCTATTCGTCATAGCTTTGATGTCTTCATTGGGTTTCATCTTGAAGTTCTCGTAGCTATGGTTGAGAAGACTTTTCTTTGATTCTCTCACTTCGTCAGTTCCTTCATGAGTGACTTGGAGCTTATCCCAAATCTCTTTGGCACTGGAACAAGATGAGACTCTTCCATATTCATTTGGGCCTAAAGCACAAAATAGAATATGTATACCTTAGAATTACGCTGAAAATTTTTCTGCTCTTCTCTACTCCAATCGTTGTACTTGCCGGGTGAAGAGGAGTAACCGTCCATGATTGAGTACCAAGCTCCTAGATTGTATGATTTAATGAAGTATATCATCTTATTCTTCCAATGTGCATAATTTGCTCCATTGAAGAAGGGTGACTTGTTGACCGGTTGTAAATCCATAATAGGATATTCTTCAAGATAATAAGCACCAGAGGAAAAAGTCATTTCTTTGTCGGTTGCGTCGGGAATTGGTAGAGCTTCTTCTAGGATCGTCTCAAGGTGGTTAAACCTTCTTAACGAGTTAGGCTCTGATACCAATTGTTGGGATTTTCGGAAGCTCGAAACGACAACCGAAACGATTTGCAAAGAGGGGTCAGAACGATTTTGTGTTTAGGGAGTAAGGAGATTGAAAGATAGAGAATTGCACAGCGATTTATAGTGGTTCGACTTTTTCAATCAAAGTCTACGTCCACTACCTTAGCTCCTCACCAAGGATTTTCCAACAAATTCACTAATTTGTTCTTTCTTTTGAGGATAAAGAGTAACCTTACAAACCCCCTAGTTTTTCCGGGCTAAACTAGAACCTTTCCCTAGCTTTTACACGAGATTAGCTAGAACCTTTCCCCTTTATAAAAGGATAAGAAATGTAAACAAGAAAACCTCTCTAAGGTAGAGGTTTACAAGATTGAGAACAAAATATTTACAAGAAAAAGATGAAATAAGAATGAAAAACTCTTATCTTGTGTTTGATTACTTGGATAGTTGTTCTCTTGCTTCTTCAATTGTCCTTAACTTGTATTTATAGCTTGGAATGTGTTTGATGTTGTATATAGCCGTTGGGGATGTTTTGGAGTCGTTTGGGGATGATTTTTCTACTACAAAAGGCTGCCCATAACATGATGCATCGATGCATGATCAAGGTGCATCGATACCCCTTCATTAAATTCAAATAAACTAGTCGTTACTAGCCGTTGCAGCCTTGATGCATGGAAGGATGCATGGAAGCATGGAAAGGATGCATCAATGCATGGCAAGGATGCATCGATGCACTAATTGCATTCGATGTTTGGATGCATGGATGCATTGCCTGATGCATCGATGCATTAGTGCAGATGCATGGATGCACTGCAGGGATGCATGGATGCACTTTGACACCCTTTAGCATTTTTGCTCAAATCCGAATTTAATGGACTTTGAATTATTTTTGAAACATTTTGAAAACTTTGAATAAATTCAATTCAAATCCAAAAACATTTTGCAAATTCAATTCAAGTCCAAAAACATTTTGCCTTAAACTGTTATATCAAAACATTGTTCAACAGATTGTCCAAATACATGAAACACAGAAAAAAATGAAATACATTTTTTATGGGATAAATACTTATATTCAACACACACCAGATTCAGATTAACATATTGTCAAAGTAACAAAAACCGGTAATGAATTATGGCATCGAAAAAATGAAAGCTCATTTACATGCCTACATATAACAGCATATAATATGTATTGATCCTAGATGATAAGAAAACAGGTTGTATATTATGGTATAAGAAGAATGCAAGTTCTTCACGTTTCCACATAAAATAGCATTTATATCCCACACTGACCGAAACATAATCATTCGTAATAAAGAAGTACAACTGAGACTTACTTGAACAATGTCATCGAGTAAATTGACATCTAAGACACCAGGAATGAAGCCAACACCGATTCCCTGGATCTTGTGTGGACCTTGAACATTAAAAATGCATCAGTTCATCAATAGGTAGATCTTTGTTATAAAATTCAACGTTAGCATAAGGAACAAAAGGAAACAAGTTTCAGTTAACAATGCCAGAGCTAAGAGACTAAAGACAACATTAGAATGCTGGTTATTACAGGAAAATACATGGAAATCTTGAAAAAGAATATACCCGTGATGATACTCACACCCGAGTCAGAGTAACATAGATCCTATCTACTACTCAGCTAGATGTTAAAGATTGTAGAAAACAATGGAATGCATTACGAAGAACGATGTGGAAATGAAGCACTGTAACATTACAACTTACCAGGTTTCCCTCCGGAAAGCACTGCACTTTCAACTAGTTTAACACCAACGACCTGAACAAAAAAGATAAGGGGCAATATAAGCAATACAATAGGACACTCATGTATAAACATGATTTACTAATTGAAGTCAAAATTTATTTCCTCTAATTGAGCATAAAAAAAATCTAACCACGACCGGAGACAAGTGTATCTATCTTCCCTCCAGTGCCTTTCCATATCTCTGGTCCAGTTGTATCATAATGTATCTAAATCAGGAAAGAAGAATCAGATTATGACACCCTCCTAGATTCTAACAACCAAAATATGCATGGAAAATGTTTCAAAATGATACCTTTGGGTTGGCAGGGTTTTCAAATTGCTGAAGAATGTAAGAATTAGGCGTTTGTGCATGAATTTCTTCAGCTTTCTGAACTGCCCCTTTCATACCCCGAGCTGGATCTGTAAGAACTAGCTCAGCTCCAAAAGCTCGGAGGACCATTCTCCTTTCTAAACTCATTGAAGAAGGCATTGCAATTATGAGTCTGTAACCCTTAGCAGCTGCCATGAATGCCAATCCTATTCCGGTATTACCACTGGTTGGCTCGATCAGGACACTCTTTAGCATATAGGAAAAAAGGAAATTACGTCAAGTTAAATCTTCTCCGTTAAGTTTATTACTCAGAACTACACGGAACGATAATATCGAAACAACCCTACTTTTTCACATAAAAATGTTCAGATATAGAATCAAAAGAAACAAAAATAGAAGCTATGCTGCTACGACTCTTCATTTTTCTTAAAGTACCCATGTCCAACATCTGTGCCCAATGCATATCTGCGTCACAAATGCACTGATGCTCGACAGTTACACCCGAGTCCATGTAACATAGCATGAAAGGCCTAGGGACTTCAACAGAAACACTTTTCAAGTTGACGACAACGCATAATTCCATCTTATGGCACAGTGACAATAGTATAATCTGGTAGAAACTTTGAAGAGTTATATGAAACCTATGTTATCATCCCCAATCTTCAGTTTTCTTGAAGAATCCGTATCCAACACATTTACGGATATGGGTATGGGAATATGGCCCTCCAAATATATTAAAAATCTTGTATAAATTTGAACATACCCGTGACACATACTTGTATTTAACACTTACACTAGAGGCTAAGTAATCATATATTGAAACTGCTATTTCAATGAAGCTTCATGTTGCAACAAGTTTGGATAATCATTAGCATATTTAACTACAAATATTAAAATGAAAAAAACTATAACTCTATTTGGGTATGGAAAACTTAAAAAACATTTTCCAGCAATAAGGCCTAACATAGTTAATAGAGGCATGACAGACTAGAGAAGTCGATTCATGATTTTACTTGCAAAGGAAAGGTGATCTAACGTTGGCATAAAAGTTCCATTCCATAATTGTCTAAAAGATAGAAATACCCAAATACCAACCTTGCCCGGTGTAATGAGACCCTTCTCCTCTGCATCCGCAATCATACTATATCCGATCCTGCAGCTCAAAGAAGGGTTTACATCTCATCAAAGATTATAAACTCAGTCCAACATGACTGAATGCGGTATAATAGCATCATTAATGATAAAATATTGTTTAACATACTATCTGACACAACTTGAATGGCGAAGTGCATGTAGTTTAATACCTGTCCTTGACACTGGAGCAGGGTTCCATTGCCTCCAACTTAGCAGCAATGGGTGCGACACATCCATCGACAATGTTGTTCAGATATACCAGTGGTGTTTTACCGATCAACTTTTTATATCAAAACAAGGTTAGCAATAGTTTTCTTAAATTAAATGAAAATAAATTTATTAACGAAGACGGTCATTGGCTTACTTCAGTGACATCTTTGGCAATTAAATTCTTGTCTCCCATTTCTTCTCAAGTAACTGCACAAGCATCTCAGATCCAAATTGTTAAGCAAAACAAACTAAACTAATGGAGAATTGATACAACTTAAATAATTTAAGAGTAATAGCGATTAATGAGACTTGAAAATATTTGGATTAATCTAAAACGGAGGTACAAAACAGGATGAGGAAGAAAAATAATAATTCCCAAGTGTTACAGTATCCAAACAAAAAACCCATACATAGAAACGTGAAAAATAACAAAAGTAACCAATAAAAACCATAAATCCAACCTTAAAAACACAAACAAAAACTAAAGTTTTACAGATTTTAAAGTACCAAAATTTCCAGATTACAACTTTTTTTTCCAAAGAAAGGAAGTACTTTTCCCCCAGCAGAATCTTTGAGTGAAAAATGATAGATAAGCTAAAATAAATAATTAAAAACTATAATTTTGCAGATGTTAAAGTAACTCTGAAGAAAGACTGTGTTTTGCAAGCAGAGTCTTATAGAATATGATAGATAAGCTAGGAAAAAGAAGCTTCAAAGACTTTTACCCTTTCTGAATTGAGAAACGTGAAAATTCCTTCGTAGATGAATCCCTGAGACAATCTCGTGGGTTAGTGCCTGCTGCCCTTGTCAATAGGAAAATGAAAATGTTGTATGGGCTAATAAAACCATTTCCCCCAATTTATATAATTTCTTGCTTAACTGTACCTGTCAGAGAGAGAAAGTTTATGTCATCCATTGATATGACGTTAGGTGGAGATTCGAATTCGGTTTCAACTTGAATATTGGAAAAATTTATTTCATACTTTTTAATATTTATGAACTTCAATTTTATGTGAAATTAATTATAAAATATTATAGTACATGATTTTAGAAAATAATTCAGATAAAACTCAAAATTTAAATGTGAACTTATATCTTAAATAAACTTATTTCTTACCCCTAATATTTTTATCTAAATATTCTTGTAAATAATCCGGGCATCGTGTAGTCCGATATATATATATATATATATATTTTTTTGTTGAGGAATTCGATGGATATATTATCAATTATTTAGAAATGGGATAAACAGATTATAATCGCCCAGTGCCCCGAATTCCCACCGAATTCAAAAGGTCACTATAGTCATTTCATTCAAACCTATAAAATATGGCTATCCTCACCGTACAATTTCACCGCCTTTCTCCCAGATCTCAAACTCTCTCTCTTTTCATTACCCTCTTTCAACTCCCCAGACCCCTCTTTTATATCCGAATTTTAAATCCCTCATCGTTACCGCGCCGGCGATGGGAGTTCCAGCGTTTTACAGGTGGTTAGCGGATCGGTACCCGCAATCGATCGCGGATGTGATCGAGGAAGAACCGAGAGAAGACGCTAAGGGAAATCAAATACCAGTTGACGTCTCTAAGGCTAACCCTAACGGCCTCGAATTCGATAATCTTTATCTCGATATGAACGGGATTATTCACCCTTGTTTTCACCCGGATGGCAAGGTAAATTTGTAAATAGTACCTGTAGAATTTATCTTAATTTGGAACTTTTTTTTGTTTACTTCAATGATTGTAAGTGGTTTAGCTGTGGATTTGAAATTGTTTGAAAGGCTGTAATGTACTTTTTCGTTGATTTTTTTTAGATTTATGGATTATGAACAGTTTGGAAATTTGCTTTTTGGTATGTTACCGTTGAGTAAACGTAATTAGGTAATATTATGTTGTTTTCTGAAGTGAAGTATGATCCTAGGATTAGATTTTGCATAGAATATTGTTTTTGGTATGGTCATCTCGAAAAGTGTACCAAAATGTTTTGTTCATGGAAGCAAGTAATGTGATTTTGCAGGTAATCAAGCGGTACGTTGCTTATCGGTGTTTTGTTAGTATGATTTTGGCGGTCATATGTGCAAACAATTTATATCGAATACAAACACACACTTGCACACAGATTCTGGTGCTTTAGGCCATGAGGGATTAACCTGTGGTCCACCAGAACCAAGAGTTGAGCACTCTAACAAAGTATCAATGGTCATTGGTCTTGACTCTTCATTCTCCCCCCCTTTTTTGTGTGTGTGCCAGTTAGTCACATTTTGCTTTCCTTTGTTAGTATGGTATGGATCACCAAGCCTCAAAAAGTATTTTCTTGAATGTGATATACATGCTGTGTATGGTTAGATTGCTTCCATTTCTTAACACAATCTTGATAATTGGTGCATCACCTTTTTTGGGTCAACTTGTTTCTATTTTTGGCTTGACCTTGCTCTTTACTGGATATTGTTCATTAATGACGGTTTATTATTGTGCATACAGCCTGCACCTGCCACTTATGATGATGTTTTTAAATCTATCTTTGACTATATTGACCATCTTTATTCATTGGTTCGTCCTAGAAAGCTTATGTATATGGCAATTGGTAAGAGTTATTACATGCTTAGTCAATTTTCTATTGACTTTTTATTATTTTTTTCTTTGATTAAATCATGCATATTTTAAAATTTTGCAGATGGCGTTGCACCTAGAGCTAAAATGAATCAACAACGTACTCGGCGCTTCAGAGCTGCAAAAGATGCTGCCGAGGCTGTAAGTATTGGCATTATTTAATGGATCCAGATTATCCAATTCAGTTGATTTATCTTTTGGTTGTTTATGTTCTCTTAGGCAGCTGAAGAAGAGAGATTGAGGGAAGAGTTTGAGGCCGAGAGGAAAGCTTTGTCCCCTATGGAAAAACCTGAAACATGTGACTCTAATGTTATAACTCCTGGCACTCCATTTATGGCTGTTTTGTCTGTAGCACTTCAGTATTACATACAATCTAGGTTGAATCGTAATCCTGGCTGGCGGACTACAAAGGTGTGAAGGACATTATCCCTTTCTAGCTTCAGAGATTGGATAATTCCTTGCAAAGTGGAGTAATCCTTTCTGTGTATTTTACTATATTCTTTGGCTTTTTTCTCTCTAAATCTAGGTTATTCTTTCTGATTCAAACGTTCCTGGAGAGGGAGAACACAAGATCATGTCATACATCAGGTTACAACGTAACCTTCCTGGGTTCAATCCAAACACACGACACTGTTTGTATGGTCTGGTGAGAGTGCATTTCAAACTAACCCAAATTCCTACTATTCCTGATTCTTCTAATTTTCTCTCTAAATATTTCAATTGTGATTTTAATTTATGACTTGGTTTGTCATAATCAGGATGCTGATTTGATCATGTTGTCCTTAGCCACCCATGAGGTTCACTTTTCAATTTTAAGAGAGGTTGGTGCCTCATTTACTTAATCCCATTCTTGGTTTCCTATAATTTATTTTAGTGACTGGTTAATTCATTTACCTTTTCTGTACAGGTGATCACTCTTCCTGGGCAACAAGAAAAATGTTTTCTATGTGGTCAAGTTGGTCATCTGGCAGCCGAGTGTCATGGCAAGCAAGATAATGGAAATGGAGAAGGGAATGCTGTGGATGATACACCAATTCACAAGAAGAAATATCAGGTTTAGAAGTTAAAACACTTCATTTAGGCCTTACAAGTACAATTCCCCTTCCTGATTGCATTTCGGCTTATACAGTGCTGATTTAATTCATTGTGTCAACAGTTTCTTAACATATGGGTGTTGCGAGAATATCTGCAATACGATTTGGAGATCCCCAACCCTCCCTTTGAGATAAACTTTGAACGAATTGTGGATGATTTTGTTTTTTTATGTTTCTTTGTTGGTAATGACTTCCTTCCACATATGCCAACATTAGAAATCAGGGAGGTATGCAATTACCATAGTTTTACATCTTGATTTTTGTTTCTCTATATTATTACGCTTCATATGAATATCCTGCTTTTGACGAGACCTCCAACTCTTATAAAAAAATATGAATATCCTGCTATTTCAGGGTGCTATAAATCTCCTGATGCAAGTATATAGAAAGGAATTTGCTTCTATAGGTGGTTATCTTACTGATGCGGGTGAGGTAAATTTTCCATTTTCCTATGCATCTACCAAGTCTTTAATAGATCACTATAAGATGACAAATGAAAAATTATCCATAAAATGTCAAGTCGTCAACTAGAGTTTTTATACCCCTGTAAAAACAGTTGGAGTGGAGAACCTACTATTATTTGTCATGTATTATTGGTGGATTGAAGGAGAATAATGATTTCCATTTTGCCTGTTTATCCTCAAAATTGTTGCTCATCTAATGAAGAGAAGGAATGAATTCTATCTCCAGTCCAAGTCAGATCTATTTTATAGCCTATCCCATCTTTCCTTTTTCTTTATTTTTGGGTGGGCTAGTCTGCATTGTACATTATATGTGGATAAAATCAGTACTCTGTCCCTAGATCATTGGCAATTTCAAGATTAACTATGTCGAGAGGATTTGGTTTATTTTCCCTCTACAAAGCCATTCACATGATTAAATGGCTAGTATTGTTACCAAGAGCTTGTGTTTACTTAAGGGCACTAAACCAGTATTAAACAACTAACTTTAAGTAATCGGTTGAATATATTCTGTGATGTTCAATAAAGCAAAATAGATAAAGTACATGCTGACACTATGAGTCTTTATATGTTTATATATACATATTCATTTATCCTGGGAGAATGTAATTTGTTGCTCGAGATTAGGGAGCATTGTTATTTTTAATTTCTTTCTCAATTAGAAGTTAGGCAGAACTGATGTTTCTTATAGTTGCTAATATCAATCCTTTTGCAAGTACAGGTTTTGTTAGATAGAGTGGAATGTTTTATTCAATCTGTTTCTGTTTATGAAGATCAAATCTTTCAGAAGAGGACTCGTATACAGAAGGTGAGTCGCATCTTCCGTGCTTTGATAAATTATTTGCATCTTGTCTAGTTGAGAGCCAGGACATAAAATTTTGGTGGTTCTATTAAGTTTGTCATATGTATTTCTGTATGATGATTAATTTGATGCTATATGATTTGGTGTTTTCTGTAGTAATTAAATACCCTGTTTCTCATGAAGCAATGCACTAGAGGTTTTGCATGCTTTGATTCAAGTACAATCTTCTTTATCTTGTATTTTTTTTGTTGATGATGTAGCATTGATTAGAAATAGTTGTTTGCTTAAAAGGAGGGAGACAATGTGGACCTAAGTTTGAATGATTTATTGTTCCTTCCCAGCAACTAGAGATATATACAGGAAAATGTGGACATTTAAACTTGAATGCAACCAAGAACAACAACATGCCTAACATCTTGAAAAAATCATTTATCGAATGATACTTATAGAAGTGTATAGGACATCTCTTGAAGGCAAAGAGGAATATATCTTCCAAGTGTTAATAGTACATTAATAAATGCTGAAGTTCATTGAATTTGGCATTTTATGAAATCTAATGTGAATCATTGGTGGTTTATTATTCACCTCTTCAGTTTTTTGCTTTCATATAAAGTTCTCTAATGGCCCTAGATTTTTTATTTAACTCGGTGGATGACTGGTTTTCAGGCATACGAGAATAATGAGCAAATGAAGCTTAAAGCAAGAGGAGAAGGCTCTGAGGAGGCACAGGCACCTGTTGTAGATAAGGTCTCAATTTGTTTTAAATTACAGACCTGAGTTGTAAAATGGAAGGTTTAATACAGATTGAATTGCTTGGATTGTAGAATCAAATAAGATATTAAATGTTAATAATGTCATGATTTGGGGGTTATTAAACTACCTTACACTTAAAGCTTAAAGTGATTTGAATTAGGTGATAGCTATAGTTCTGTTGACGAGCTTTGAAATCTTTTGGTTACAAGTTCCTTGAGTGTGTTTGCTGTGAGTTTTGTTGAATTTTATTCTGTAAACTTTTTCTGGCATCCATTCATCTGAGAGTTTAACCTGTCCCCACTGTTGGTCTTATAATCCATAAGCTAGAAAAGTGGAGGAAGCTATTGAAAGGTGAATCTGGTGCAAGCCCTCATTGGGCAATTGAGAAAATTTATGGTGGTTTTGGTTATAGATTTCTTGTATTGTAATTATTTAACTTTTTTCCCAGATTAAATTAGGGGAACCAGGATACAAAGAAAGATATTATGCTGAGAAATTCAATGTATCAAACCAAGGGGAGATTGAAGAAGTTAAAAGAGATGTCGTAAGTTTAAACATTCTATTTATGAAGTTTCTTGCTACAATATCACATGTATATAATAATGTTATCCTGTAGATGTGTAATAGCAGCATCAATTTCTTGCAGGTTGTTTTTTATAAGAATTTTAGGCCTCATTAAAAAACCTCTTCTTGATTAATGGAGCTTTTAGAAAAGCTCCTTAAACAGCGGAAGGAGGAAAAAAGTGTCTTAGGATTTTATTAATCATAGACAAAGTACATAAGATACAACCAGAAGACATACTTAACAAAACCTTAAAAATTACAGAACATAAAATCAAAACCACCAAAACGACCAGACCACCCTTAAACAACAAAACTATCTTAGCCCCAAACCCTCAATAGGCCACCAACTACTGAAAAACCTCTAAAGCAACAAAATTAATCATCCAATCCCCTGTTTAGCCAGAGTATCAACCTCACAATTACAGCTCCTCGGTATGTGTCTAACAATAATCTCCCTCTCCGAGACTAAGGAAACAATCTTCTGAATCATCGATCTAAAAAAATGAGATGTAGTCGGCAGCAAAATCCAATCCACTGCTGATTTACAATCACTCTATATTATTAACCTTCCCTTCATCGCCCACTCCGACTAGAGAGAAATCAATGCCTTTCTCAATGGCTTTCAGCTCAGCGAGTGGTGGAGGACCTGGACCAACAGCAATCGATAAAAACCCTAGAATTTTACTTTCCGAATCTCTTAAAATGCCACCAATTCCCCCAACAGCCCGTCCGCACTGACTGCCCCATCAACGTTAACTTTAAAAAAATGTAGCGGTGGAGGAAGCCAACCCTGAACCTTCATCCTATTAAAGACCGTAGTATGATGCTTGTCTGCAAGAGTAGGATCCCCCACTAGGGAGTCTACCTGAATAATGACGTTCGGGTGCTTAGCCAGAAACCATTTAACCAATCTAAATCTGCAAATGAAGAAAAGAGTAGAATTGTCCAGTTTCCACTCATCAGAAACCATCGAGTTCCTAGCCTTCCATAATGACCATAGAACCACTCCCGGTATAAAACTCCATATTTGCGATTTTGGCCTCATGTCAGACCAAGAACACAACAAAGAGAATGGATCTTTATGCAAGACTGATGAGACTTCCCATAACCTCAAAAAACTGCTCCATAGGTCCCATGCAACCGAGCACGAGATGAACAGATGCTGAACTGTTTCTTCCTGCTTTAAACAAAACAGACAAGAGACCTCCTCCAATGTAACACCTCTTCTTTTCAACTCCGATCTAACCGCCAATCTTTGATGTGAGACCTGCCACAGAAAAGTTTCGACTCTTGGAGGAGCCAATCCTGACCAAATGAACCTTTTCCAATTAATCATACCCCCTGAATTGGTAGAAAGAGTCAACCTACATGATTTAGCGGTGAACAGTCCATCTCCCTTCCCCGACCAAGACAGAAAATCATCCACCGAATCTGACAGAACAACATTCTCCAATAATGACATTAATTGAATCCAGTAATCCAGCTCCCAATCACATAAATTCCTTCTTGTTTGAATGTTCCAGACCCATCTATTACTCAGAAGACAACCAAACTCTGAAACTTTTCCCCATTTGTTATTAGAAAGAACATAAATCCTTAGAAATTGATTCCTTAGAAATTGATTCCTTAAAGAGTCCTCATTTATCCAAACATCGTGCCAGAATACAATAGACTTGCCATTGCCTACTTGAATCTTCGAGTGAGATCGCAAACCTTGTCCGATTGCGTCATCTTCCAAGTAATTTTTCGTAATACCTTTCCAAATCCATGAATCCGAAGGAGAGACTACCTTGCTGATATCTAGGGACAGATTACTCACATTATGTTTACTGCAAATCAGATTCTTCCAAAGGGTGTCTTTTTCATTTGTGAACTTCCATACCCATTTACCTAGCAGCACTTTGTTTGTAAAATTCAGATCCAAGATTCCCAAACCTCCCTCCTCGAAGGGTTGACAAACCCTTTTCCAATTCACCTAGTGAATTCGACTTTTTGATGAACCTTCCCCCACAGAAAGTTGGCCATTAGAGAATTTAACTTCCTATAAACCTTACTCGGAATTCTGAAAACAGAGAGGAAGAATATCGGCATAGAGGACAGTACTGATTTTATCAACACCAATCTGCCCGCCATAGACAGTGTGGAAGCTTTCTAACTAGATAATTTTTTGTTAAAAGTTTGGATGACCGGCTCCCAAAGAACCTCTGAATTTCTCTTTGCACCTAAGGGTAAACCTAGATACACTGTGGACAGAACACCCAAGACACAACCAGCCATCGATGCCCATTCATTTAATACGTCGTCTTCCACATTAATGCGATACAACTTTCTCTTCGACAAATTCAAATGGAGTCCAGTCATTATGCTAAATATCCTCAAGACTCTTAATATTGAGAATATAGGTAGGTGAATCACGGCAAAAAAAATCAAATCGTCAGCGAACTGTGAGTTAAATTAAAGGAATCCGATCTTCCAAAAGCAAAACCCTGAAAGAGTCCCAAATCAGCCACTTTCGTTAGCATACGATTTAGAAGTTCCCCCACTATATTAAACAAGAGAGGAGACAAACTACAACCTTGTCTCAACCCTTTACCCATCGAGAACTCCTCAGTAAGAGAGCCATTCACTAACACCGAGATAGACGTCGTGGAGAGGCAATATTTTATCCAGGAAACCCATCTCTCCCCAAAGCCCATGACTCTCATTAATCTAAAGATAATTGGCCATTCAACCGAGTCATACGCCCTCTGAAAATCAGCTTTGAAAACTACCCCTTTCAGCCCTTGCTTCCTCCAATAGTCTATGCCTTCGTTTGCAAGAAAAGCACAATCTAAAAGTTCTCCCCGGAATAAATGCAAACTGTGAAGGGCTCACAATATCTTTAATCACTGAAACTAGTCTCGCTAAAACTTTGGAGATGATTTTATAGAGACTGCCAACGAGACTTATAGGTCTATAATCTTCAATGCATTCCGGATTGATTTTCTTTGGGATCAGGGAAATAAACGCATGATTAACCCCATGATCCCATTTTCTCCCACAATAAAAATCCTCCATAAACTTCATTATTTGCACCTTCAGAGTCAGCCAGAATTTCTTGAAAAAACCCATCGAGACCTGGAGCTTTAGAGCTGTCCGAAGAGAAAATAGCCTCCCTTCCTCCTCTGAAAACTTAACCTCCAGGCTATTCCTTTGATCTACTCTCAATTCTGCAAAGTTCAAATTTAAGGCCCCCACCTCTAAATAATCTTTAAAATTATAGACTTTCTTAAAGAACTGGGAGACAAGCTTTAATCTGCTCTGGCTCTTTCATCATCTCCCCATCCACTTTCAATGCCGAAATGGTGTTTAATATGTTTCTGTTTACAGCACATAGGTGGAAGAACCTAGTGTTTCTGTCACCATCTTTGATCCATTTCGCCCTCAACTTTTGGAACCAAATACTTTCTTCGATCCTGTGCATTTTCCATAGCTCCTTTCTGGATGATAGGAGTTGTTCCCAGTCAAAAGTAGAAAGCCCACTGCCTTGCGCCTTAGCTTCCAAATCATTTATTTTGCTCTCCAACCCTGTGATAACTTCTGAAATCCCCTATTTGTTTCTGATTAGCCACTCCTTGATACGTTTTTTAGTTCCTTGTAATAAACTGAAAATTCCTCTTCCCCCTCTATCTTTAACCCGATCTGTCATTACATTATGAACCATGTCTACAAAACCATCTTCCTCCAGCATATAATTAAAAAACCGAAAAGGTTTAGGGCCCTAGTTTTTCCCATCTTCTACCAATAGTACCGGATTGTGATCAGAGAGTGATTTAGGAAGCAATTTCTGGACAGTCTTCGGAAAGCAACTTAAGAAACTGCTACGCAATAAGAAACGATCTAGTCTTACCCAAGTAGTAATCTCTCTATTATTACCCCAAGTTAAAGTGCCGCCTACCAAAGAAAGATCTATTAAATTAGATTGTTGCAGGAAATTCCTTAGCAAACCCACTGAATGCCAATTTTGTGTGGCACCAATCTTCTCCTCTTGGTCGAGATAAGCATGAAAGTCTCCCCCGATGCAAATTGGCAGATTAACAGAATGAACATAACTCAACAGCTGCCTGAAAAACTCTTCCTTTTCTTCCTCTACTGAGGGACCATACACATTTATAATAACACACTCCACATTAGACACCTTGAACTTCCCTGATAACGCCTGAAATCTGCTTTGATTATACACCCTGCTAACCTCATATGCATTCTCATTCCACAAACACAACAACCCACCGGCTGTCCCCTCCGCTGGCTGGAAACTTTCTCCCTTCAACTGATTTCCTCCTAATTTCCTTCTAAGCCCCTTCTGGCATTTATTCAGTTTTGTCTCCTGTAAAAGCAATATGACCGGTTTGTTCTTATTTACAAGTCTCGACACCACTCTAATTTTTTCCTTTCTTCCTAGACCCCTAACATTCCACGAAATAATATTTCAATCCAACATATACACTTGAAAACCAAACCTACAAGAAGCAGAAACTGGCGAACTAAAGGGCTTCACTTCCCACCCTTGAACCTTTCTCCAGCTTTTTAATTTTTTCAATAAAAACCTCCTTCCCTTCCTTAAAAGAAATGCCTAAGCTCTGACAGACTTCCCATATAGCCAATGCTTCCTCAAGAACTTTAGAAAAGGAACGAGAGTAAACAGTTGATACTTCTGCATTAACCAGAGCTTCTGTGATTAAACCTCTTGTCTTCTTTCTGTACTTTCTACGATTCCTTGGAGCAATACAAGGATCTGCCACCACACTTTCTGGAGAAATGCTGCTAATAATAGGAACCATACAAGTGTTCTGAACTTGAGCAGAACCAATGTTTTCCTTGTCCTGACACCTTTCCCCTGGACTTGATGAAAATTGCCTATAATTATGAAATACAAACCTGTTCTGAATGGGCTTATGACTATTTTCTGAACATAACCAGACTCGTCTTGTTTTTGACCTTCTGTACACCCTAACAAAACGCCCAGAACCCCTCAATCCTTCGGATGTCTTTCTTATTGACAAGCCTTTAGATACCTGGTATCCCAATCTCCATCTCCTAAAACTCTTCACCTTTATTTTGCTGTTATCCTTCTTAAGCTTAATCCCTTTGTCACCCAAATTAAAAACCTCAATTTCCTGGATGCCTTCATTCTCCTCCTCTACCATGTTACGACTATTCTCCTCATGCTTCAAAAGGTGTTTGGACCTGATAATGACTTTTAAGCTCGACCCCATATAAATTCTCAACCTGCTCAACAGGGATTTTTTTAAGGCAGGAGAAAAAGACTCCCTAACCAACCTCTCATTTTGCAAAGGACGCCGCTGGGCCGGAGAAACATACCCATATTGCAGATTAGATTCTGCTTGTGATAAATTTTTAAAATCTGCAGACTTCTTCCCATTTCTAAATGGTCTTGGACTTTCCTGCTCATGCCCAAACATCTCTAACTTACCCTTTTTAGAATTAATCCCAAAGACTTTGACAACTTTATCTTGTCTTGAGGTGCCACCTTCCACGCTGAACACCCTTTTTCTCTCAACAGAAGAAACTCCTGATACTTTCTGTTGACTTTTAACCTCACCTAGTACTGTCCCCTCAGCACAATGGTCAGCCCCAAAAATATTATTGACTTCCACGTTAATTTTCAAATTTCCATCGATCAACGTGTCATCCCCATGAGAAGCACCTTGAGCCCATGCTTCTATACTATTCAGAGAGTCTGACATTGTTTGAATATTCAACTTCCCTTGCAGACCTTCTTGATCAACCCCTTTGCTCCCTTCCGATGAAGTCTCTTCCCCAGGATCAACTGGTCCTTCCACAAAGCCATCTTCTTCAACCCCATCATCAAACTCAAGAAAGAACTCTTCACAGCCTTCCACCTTAATCTTAATAATAAATGATCTTCCATACGTATTAATGATTTCCTGGGGCGAAATATCGAACGGGCTCTCCACTCTTAACAGCAAATGAGCCACCCTGCAGTCCACTCTTTGAGCTGTTTGATCCTGAATCTTCACTAAGTTGCTCCATCTCGCTGCCAAAGTAGAAAAGAATGAAACTGACCAACAATTTAAAGGAACACCTATCATGGATACTGCACAGAAAGGTAAAGGAACACCGTTCTCCTCCATAATAGGCTCCAGCCTTTCAAACCAGAAAGACAATGCCTCCCATTTGTCCTCCACAGTTGCGTCTTTCTCCTCCACTGACTTAAATACAATCAGACATGCATTTTTCGCAAAGCCCCACCTTACCACCTTGACATTAAATCCCTCGGTCCTTAAAGCTCTTTGCACAAAATCAACTTCGAAAATCTGCTTGCATATACCAGTTAGAGACGATCTAAGCCAAGACCTTTCTTCCATTGGAATATGAACTTCCAAAGGCTTCTTAACCTCCCTCTTATCTCCACGGCTACTCATTTGCTGACCCTCAACATTAATCATTCCCACTACCGAATCCTTGTAAGATCTACCATCATGGAACTTATTCAGCAACTCCCTCTTCCTCGCATCAACTTGGAATATTGATCTCTTCCCATTCGGCTCCTATGCGCTAACAACTCCAGACCCCGCTACAGTAAATTGCTCCCGGCTCCGCGAAAAACTTCTCTTCTAATATTTCGCAATCGACACCGATATTCTCCTCCCATCTACCACAACGTTATTCATCCTATCCTTTGCATTAAACATATCCTCCTTACTTGCAAAATGCACAAAAGCAAACGTATTGTCCTTGTACTTTGGTCTACTATTAATGAACGGAATGAACACCTTAATCACCTTGCCGAAATAACTAAAACGTTCCCATAAAACGCTTCTATGCACTCTCCTACTGAGATTATCTATGAAAGCTACCCTTGCTCCTTCTCCAGGCCGTGCTCTACCTCTGCCTGAAGAACCAAAACCAAGCTCGACGTTCACTCTCTCACTAACTTTCTCTCTCATGTTGATTTCCTACTGGACTATATTTATGAATATCATGAACAATTTCTTGCAGGTTTTGAAGTATCTTGAAGGTTTATGTTGGGTGTGCCGCTATTACTACCAAGGTGTTTGCTCTTGGCAATGGTTAGTTTGATGTGAACTGGAGATGAAAATGTTATAGTTGCTTTTTTCTGGATATTTTTCATTTTGATAAACTAAATGGATTAAGAATTAAGATTAAATGCTAATATGAGCATATATATATGCTAGTGGAGTCCTATTCCCTCTAATGCTTGCCCTTTTATATCTTTTTGATTTATGCTATCTGATACTTCTGCTTGGTAGCTTAAACCGGGCTTCTGTAGCATATACATCCATACATATGTTGCAAGATGTGATGACTTGAGATTTTCTTGATGTGACCTAGCAAGTAGTTTAATACATGCTATATGTCTTACGTGTTTTTCTCCCTTTTTATTTAGTTTAAAGTTTGGTCTTGAATTTGTTTTAGGTTTTATCCATATCATTATGCGCCATTTGCTTCAGATCTTAAGGATCTTACTGACTTGGAAATAACATTTTTCATGGGAGAACCATTTAAGCCATTTGACCAGCTCATGGGAACTCTGCCAGCTGCCAGGTTTTCTTCTTTTCAATTGTTGTTGTTGGGTTTTGTTTTTTTAAATATATGGTGTGTGTGTGTGTGTGTATAGCCTTCTAATGCTTCTGCATTTATCTTCAAATATATCTTCTCTGTGGTTATAGTCTATAGTTGCCTATGCTAATAGGAATTTATTTCTATGTTATAGTTCTAAAGCTTTGCCAGAAGAATACGGGAAACTGATGACGGAACCATCATCACCTATTTCTAGTTTCTACCCCTTTGGTAAAAAACGGGTCAACTCTTGGTGGTATGTTTAACTTGTGACATTCCTCCCCTTTTCCTAGATTTCTCATTTTTCTCCATGTGACAGATTTTGAGATTGATATGCATGGTAAACGCTTTGCATGGCAGGTACATTATTCCACCTAGTTAACTTATTACTATTTTGCTTTCTTATCTCAACAGAGATTATGGTAACTTACCTTCGTTCTTCTGGATCCAGGGTGTTGTCAAGTTGCCTTTCATCAATGAGTGGAAGTTGCTTGCTGCAACAAGAAAGCTTGAAGCTACTTTAACTGTCTGTGTTGATGTTTTAGGCTAACATGTTTTATTTTTGAGTGATCATGCATAATGTCCTGTAGCACAAACTATTGTTTTAAAATGCTTGGAGTTGATCCATTGTGCTAACAGTTAATATTTGCAGGTAGAAGAGCATTTTCGGAACAGTGTGATGCATGATCTGCTATATGTTCATCCTCATCATCCTTTGGCTTCACAAGTTATTTCATACTACTATCAGTTCTCCCCTCACAAAAAAAATGAATGGCCAATTAACGCAAATGCTAGGTTGGTTAATCTCACTGTTCTTCACTAATTGAGCATTCACAAGTCAAGCAATTTGACGAAAATCTTTTCATTTTATCATCCCTGTCCATTATTCCCTCACAGTGGTGGAATGAACGGATTTCTTTGGTTAACTGAAAGGAATGGTTGGAAAAGTGTAGTGTCTTCCCCTGTTAAGGAGTTGCCACACATAGAATATAACCATGTTATGTAAGTCTTCCGTAGTTCTATTGCCATCCCCCCCCTGGCTGAGAATCCTATATAATCCTAGTAATTCTTATGATGCATTTTTTCTTTGCAGAAACGTTACTTACCTTAATCCTTCATGTCATAAACACATTCCAGAACTTCCACAGGGTGTTGTGACACCCAAAAAGGTACATAATTTCTGACTTCTATTGATTTTAGTTTAATCATGATTAGGAACTCAAGGATGCACGCGATTCCCCTTAAATTATTTTTCATAGGTGGTGGTGTAATGGACCCCTTGTAATTATTTGTGTGGTAATAAAATTCAAGGTACTCTTTTCCTCCTTCCGCTACTTTTCGGATACTTAATAGTATTCTGAAAAGCATGAAGGGGATTTTTAATTAGACCTCCATTTCCTATAAAAAAAAGTGTTTTTGTTTTGAGGATCATTACGGAAGTACCGCTGGGTCTTTTAAGAGTTCACAATTAAATACATAATGGTGCTCTTGCAGATTCTAACCCCTCTAGACATTAAACCTTTTCCTGTATTATGGCATGAAGATAATGGAGGGCGGCGTCAGCAAGTCAGAGATCGGTGAGAATGCATTATTATAAAATGTTGCCATTAATTTCAGTCTGCTGTTATAAATGGCCTCATAGTTTATTCAAATACAAAATGGTAGATTATTGAGATGTTCATTACTGTACTTGCTTGACAGGTCATGGGTACCTGGAGCGATCATTGGCCCTCAACTAGGAGAGGCAGCTCATCGTCTTGTCAAGAACACACTTAATATCAAATCAAATGGCTCATCGTCTGGGTTGTTCGAGCAACCATCGTTTAACATCTCGAGCAACTACACAAGCATTAAACAAAGACCTGCTGGACCATCTGGTTATGAAAGGGGCTTTTTTGATGACTCAAGTCTTTCTTATAGTAGTCGACCACTTGCAGCTGGATCTCCAGGTTATGGAAGGGGATATGGTGATGGCCCAAATTATTATAGTCAACACAACCATCTACATGGCATAATGGCTAGCCCACGACATACCTCATCAAATGGTATGCAAGTCAACAGAGACAACTTCCGGGCGCAGGAAAGATCACATTATCAGGAACATTATAATGATTTGAGGACTGGAATGTCTGCTTTCTCATTTGAGGGAAGTGGCAGAGGTAGAACACAAGTAGAGATGTCTTCAAGGATGCCAAATTCTGGATACTCACGACATTTAGACCACTGGCCCGAGCAGAATACCAATGCTCCTCCTCCCGTTCCCCCTCCTACCAAGTGGATCAATATGCCGGAGAACGTAAACACTGGAACTTACAATTAAAATTTGGATCAATACAAGAAGCAGATGAAGAGATCGATCAGATTCAAAACTCGTCTGCGGGGAATGTTGGTTCCTGAAAACAAGACGGACTTGCCTGTTTTTTGACACGGGCATGTTATTGATAGTCTAAAGGAAACTTTATAAGTACTTCTAACGTGGATGGTCGCATGTTGCCAGTTGCCACTGCTGTCAGGTTAGAAAACTAGCCGCTAGAAACGTTTGAATGTTCCAATGTGCAACCATCTGTCGATTTCCAACAATTTCGTAAGTGAACTTCTTGTCGTGTGAGCTTCAGACAACCATATGGCTGAAGAATTCAGAAAGGTATCCTTAGTCGATGTATCATGCTTTACCCATTGTGTTTCTCGAAACACAGCCTAGTTATTCGGGTTGGTTCTTGTCTATTAGGGTAGGTGAAATAGATGGCAATTGGATTGAGAGAAGCTTAGACCTTTTGTCTAAAATGTACAAGTTTTACAACATAAGCATTATAGGGTTGTAGACTGTTGGTTTAGGTTGATGGTATTATTTCTTAATATACAGGAAACAACAAAGCTGCCTATTGTGAGCCGAGAAAATGAAATTGGCATGTTCAATTTTAAAATGTTCACTTTCTTGATGGTTAAGTCGATATTCTTGACATTCCTTTGCATTTTTTAACTTTTTTAGGATTTGTTTTTACTTTTTAGTTAATAAAAATAATAATGAAGAGAACATTTCTTTCTAATTTTTCTCGTGTGGTAACACGTAATAAAACACTAAAATAGCATACTTATAACGTGTTTAAGCCATGACTAATTTAACATGCAAATAATGAAATAAATACAGTACATTTAAAAATGACAATCCAGCTCAGTTGATGGAGTATAAAGTTTTTAATCTTGAGATCGTAAGATCGAGTCTCAAGGATGGTATTTTATAATTTGGAGGTCTCTCACGGAAGCTGATCTCAAACTGGTGTTGAGGGTCTACTATCTTACCTTCCTCTTATCCTATTATATATGGGAACAAGAATTAACTAATTTTTTATTATTATTTAAAGATGACAATATCTATAAGATGATATGAAAACTATCCCCGTTAGCTGCTAGGCTTTAAAGGATGGCTTCCATCAACTGATATGATATTTTATTTGAAATTTAAAGACTAAATTGATGTTCTATTTAAAATTTAAAAAGTAAATTAATATTTATTTAATGTTTAAAAATTAAATTAAAAATCAATTATTTTTATAAACGTGTCATCTAATAATATTTAATATTTTAATGATTAAATTATTATGAATCTATAATACAAATAATTAAAATATTATTTTTTTAATTCAATGACTAATGGAACAAAATTGAGCATTTCGAATGGTTACCCAAGGATTAATTTATTGAGAGTTATGTAAGCCTATTGAAACAAATGTTTTAATTAAATATATATTGGAGTCTGAATATATTTATATATAGTTTAATTTGGACCTCATCTCATCTGAAGCTCTAAGGTGAGAAGTGTAGTCAGAAGACGACATTAATCTAAGCTGCCAGTCTAAAGCTTTATTTTTCAACATAAATGAATAGTTTGTATGAGTTGAAAAGCCAGGAAACCAAAATGAAAGAAGATTATTACTGCAAAAAGTAACCACTCAAAAAAAGCACAAAAAAGAAGAACAAGCTCCCATAAATCAGCAGAGCTTTCTGTCCAGAAGTAAGAGTATTGCCTCCTAACCCATATTGTTGATTCTGTGCAAAACCTGCAATCTCCACGCTTTTATTCTCAAAGAAACTCTGAGCAGCGCCGCAAGTCGGGCATCTCCAATCATCCGGTAACTACTCAAACTCAAACCCTGGTGGGATTGGATACGACGGATCACCCACTGCTTCATCGTACTTAAACCCACACGATCTGCACTCATATATTCCTGTGTTCAACACTGCAAATTTCTCCTCCAGCCTGCGTTTATCCAACTTTTCTTCTTCACTCTTTGTGGGTTCTTCTTGCTCTGAACTCGAGACGTCTTCTTTGGATACATCAATGGAGTTGATGACGGTGAAATGCAGTCGCCCTTTTTGGGTTTGGATTTGACCGAAATCGCGGTTTGGAGGGAAGAAAGAGGTGATGGGAGTGCTGTGGTTCTGGATAAGGTTGGGTCGAATGGTTAAAAGAAAAGGCGAGCCTTGTCGTTGCAGAAGCCATTTCGATGGAGCTTTGGGGATTCAGATTGATTGTTAAGTGATATTTTGGGGAAGTGGGTGGAGGATAGAGATGCACATAGTCGGATTTAAATTCGATCTGGATCGGATAAAAATCGATCCGGTTTTTTACTAAGTCAAAAAATCAGTTTATAAAAAAATCGATTCGGATCATAACCGGTTTGGAAGGTCGGATGATATAATCGGTGTAATCGGTTTCGGTTTGAAAAAAATCGGTTTTTTTAAAAAACCGGATTTTAATCCTGTAAAAAATCCGATCATCCAATTTTTTAAACCTCAGACCGGATTTTTTTTCCGGATAAAAAATCAGTTTTTTATCTGATTTTTTTCAAATCGGCTTTTAATTCGATAAAAAATCCGATCGTCCAATTTTTTTCCAAACCGGTTATACTATCCGATTTTAAAATATCCGATCCGATTTAAAAAAATTAATTTTTCCCAAATTTAATTTCGAATATTTTTTTTTTACGTAAAATCGAATATTTAAATTTTTTGTGCACCTCACGAATCCATGGAATGGAAGGGTATATATGCTTCTTGTTTGAAAAGGAGTTGGATAAGGTAGTCACAGGTACAAATTATTTTTCCATTTGGGATGGGCTATCTGTTTGACTTCCGAAACTGGCCTGCTTTTGAGATGGGCTGATTTTCTAGTTCAGATTTTTAGGCTTAATGGAAAACCATAACAACTAAGATACTTCTGAGTTTGCAAACCATAATCAGAAATGGTTAAAACAAGTTTACACGAAATGATTGAAAGTAAAAAAACATCAGAAATGAAAAATAACTACTTATCTCACTAATTTCCCAAAATTAAATGGTTCGAACACTAAAAATATAAAGGGTACGAACGTTTAATGTCAAATGATTAAGAGTTATCTTTGAACATATATTGTCTTGTGTCTACCCAGATTAATAAAAAAAAAGATATTGCCTTGTGTCTATCCAAATTAATAAAAAAAAAAATCTAATATGCTTGCATTTGACAGAGACAACATTACACTCTTTTTTATCAAAAAAATGGAAAGCATGATAAATGATACCAAAAAAAACTCATTAGAAGCAAACCATGGAAAGACATCCCCAAACCTATTTCAACCTTCCTTCCACACGCCTATGATGCTCAGATCCGAGGATAAATGTTACACATGGATGATTAAAGGAAAACAGTGGGTCAAAATAACACAAATTCTCAATCACCAACACCAAAACATCATAACAAGTGATCTATGGAATCAAATTTCGAATTTTATGCAACAATGCAGTAAAATGGCAAACTATAATTGAATCCATTTTGCACTCCGTCTTTTGTTCTAAGCAAGTCATCCCAACCCATATATAAGAACTATATATACAAAAACGAGAATAACTAGAACAAACTATTGATTCAAAGACTAAATGATTATAAATTATTATTCCAATCATTGATCATTTCTATCAAATAAACAAAAACGAAATAAGAAAACCAGTTACCCTCGCTACACTATCAGCTATCCATCAATGACCAAGAAATCTTTCATGGAAATAACTCGTAAGTACCAGTATTCAGAAATCACCCTCCCATGGACCGAAGCTCCTCTAAGGCTGCCTTAATCTGTTCCTGCACCAACTCCAACCTCTTAGAATAAACTTCCAACTCCAATACTCGCTGCTTTCTCCACCTCTCATCAATTAACTCCCCATTTCCCACACCAACGGCCCCGAAATTGCCAAAATTCAATGGCATAGCATTCATGGCCAATCCACTAATCCCTCTTCCTCCACTTCCTCCTACTCCCCCCATTAAACTACCCAACAACTCCTTAAACATGGGTGTTAAACAACTCTTCACCGTCTCCTCTATTACCGTCGCCACTTTTCCTCTTTCTCCTCCCCCTCCACCACCACTACCACCGCCACCAACAACACCAGTGCCACCACCAAATCCCTCGACATTAATGTGATCATGATCACTCTTGTTATTAAACTTATTGTTAGAAATCAGAAACCCATCGTTTAAAACACCCCCCTCCTCCATTTTCCCTCCTTTATTTCTTGACCTTTTTTTGGTGGCTGGGGATTTTGGAGTGAAATTCTTTTTCTCTCCACTTTCATCAAGTAAATTGATGTTAGTAACACTATTATTAGTATTATTTTCATCATAATCTAAAACGTTATCTTCTACTTTGCCAACACTATTACTCCAGATCTTCCTAGAAATCTCAAAAGTAGCTTGATCATGAGGGCTTTTGAAGGAAAACTCTTTACCTGAATTAATCTTATTCATCGCGTTCCTATATTTCTTCTTCAATCTTCTAAGCTTCTCCACTAATTGATTCTTGTTGAAATCCAGCTGAAGCTTTGATTTGATTAGGTCGTAAAACAATGCAGTATCGTGATGATGATGGTGAGAAGAATTCGGGTTAGTCTTCGAAGTTGTATAATCCAGAAACCCTTGGAGAAGCTCGATCTCATCTTCATCAGTCCATAAACGTTGAAACAACCGTCGCGATTCATCGAAAGGTTGCGGCGGAGTAGGTTTTTTCTCGAAGACGACGGAATCAATCCGTTGTCGTTTGAAATCGGGAGTCGATTCGACGACTGGGACGGCAGCGACGGTTACGACGGTAGAGGTAGGCACGGCAAGTGGAACGGCGTGGATTGATGCAGAGGAAACGATGGCGGCAATCGGCTGAGGTAGTAAGGAGGAAGAATTAAAATCCTCTTCTTCCTCTAACAACTCTTCGTCCTCTTCTTCGTTGCCGTTGAGGACGCCGTCGTTTCCGGAGGAGGAGGGTTCCTCGTCGTCGTCCTGAGATTCCTCAAAAACGGCACCGTACTGCTCCGAAGCCATGAGAGAGATGAAGAAGAAGAGTGTAAAAACGAAAGAGGATCACGAGGAATTTGCTGATTAAAAAAGCGCGTTGGACTTGGTGAAAGGGAAGATGTTAGTTTGGTTAGAGTTCGGCCCGTGTGGGGTTCATTACCAGGCCAACGCTCTCTTCGAGCGCGTGTACGATGAAGATCAATTCAATTTCATTTTAATTCCATATATCGAATGATATCATATTTCTTTTCTTATTTTTGTTGAGAAATCATATTACATTTCTTAAAAGTTCTAAAAATATGCTCGTACTCAATAAATACGAAAATTTGATAAAATTATTAATATTTAATTACTAATAAATTAATTTGAATTATATAATACAAAAATTTGACTAGAGAATCCGGTCTAAAGCTCAACTCAAATTAAAAACTAAACTAAAACATAATACATGGTAAAGTTATTCTTCTCAAACGCTCGACATAATTCAAGGAAGTGGAGTTGTTTTCGTAAACAGCAGTTAATACAAGGTAAACATGAAGACTTGATCTGCACCTGGACCTTCAACTTTCTTCATCTCCATGCAAGCTTTCTGGTGCAGCCCACTACCTCTCAATGCATCAGCAGCAATGAAAGGATTAAATCCAGCAGCTACGGCTGCTTCTGCTTTCGCTCCATAAACCACCTTCTGCCTTCATAAGAGATTCATTCATAAATTACATCCGAATAATCTAATATTTAAGATATAATTATGTTAGTGGACCTTGGTTCTGGACAGATGGATGGCACCGAAGCACATTGGACGAGGCTCACAGGAAGCATATATTTCACAGTCCGAGAGGCCAACCTTATTGAGCTTCTTGCATGCCTTCCATATATCAAAATATGATAAAATTGGGTAACATACTTTGTTTACTTTTATTTACTGAGAGATCTGTGTCGGAAATGATATCACGTGCATGGTATATATCAAGTACATATAATTACAATAGATCAGACGGTGACAACAACTGGTATAAAAGAAAGAAATAATAGTATATAAACTGTCATCAAACCCTTTCTCAATCCTACGTGAGATAATCTTTAACAATCTATCCTCTCCTATTGCAGTAACCTCGGCATGGGCAGTAGGGTCGGTGTTGATCCGAACCATGTTATGACAACTGACTACAACTTCATCGTTTCGGACAATCACTACACCAAATGGGGACCCATCTTTGCATTCCACCCCTTTATATGCTTCTTCTATCGATTGTTCTATGAATTTTTGGTCTTTATCCTGTATTTCTGCTTCAACAATACATTTTTAAAAACTTTAAACAAAGGAATATACTGCGTATCTATATATGATATCTATATTAAGTCTGCATAGAATCTTAATAATTTAAACATTAATCTTGTATGCTTTTGTTATATAAATTTTTTATATTTAATAAAACATCTATATTTTGGTACGTATTGAAGCATGATATAGTTAGGTCTCAACATATCAAATTTATTTTTGGATTATAACTCTCCATAACCATTTCAAATATGTAAAAAAGAAGACAAGAAAAATTGATATTTTTTTATTATAAGGTAGTATTTGTTCAAAATATTCTCATTTATTTAACAATGAACGCTCAAACACCCCTACATGCTATGTGTTCGAACTCGAAATCTTTAATAATAACAAACACCCTTTAATTACTAAAGTCACTTGATTCGTACAAAATTAAACATATTTATGTGACAATCAATTCCAAATAACAAATATACATAAATCTTCTCCAAATGAGATTTTTCAATGCAAAAAAATTATTTTTATAATTTTTTTGTTTGAGTCAATAATCACTTTTCAAATGTGAATTTTTGATTGAAAATGAATTGTTTAAAAAATTTTATACATTTAATACGAAATTTTAAGCTGAAATCACTTCTATAATCATTCCTAAACTGCCCCTAAAATATGACGCACCCACTCCGAGATAACAATTTATGAAGTGGTTTCTTAAAACTAACCCATACTTTTCTAAAATCCCAGTCTAATATTAATAGATTATTTTTTTAATGTTTGATCTTGATTCTGCTCCTAATTTATAGAATCAAAACCGTCTCCATCATTGTCATAATGATGTAAAGCTACAAGTAAAAGACTGAATGAATGAAATCATGAACAGGACATTCCACTCTTAGTTTTTAAGCATTAACCACAGGTTTCAAATTTCAGAAAAAAAGAGAGAGACCATGTGAAAAAGTTTGAAAAATTACCTTGATGAGCAGAAAAAGCAGAATCTTTGGCTTCCAACACTAACAAAAACATCAGCATAAACATTAATCTTTCTTCCAACACTAACAAAAACATCAGCATAAACATTAATCTTTCTTCCAACACTAACCATTAACTTTTGGCTTCCAAGTTCTGAGAAAGGGGCAACAAGATATAAAGAATACAAATGAAAAAACCAGAAAGAAAAGGTATACAATTTTCTTCTTCCATGATGAAAGAGAGAAGAAAGATGTTAATTTGATTGAATTAAGGAGAAAAATAGTGAAAGACAGAAAGAATGGCAAATGGACGAAATAATCCATTTGGGAATATTTAATTCCCAAAATAATCCCCTTCTTATATTATTTCTTCATCTAGGGTGAAATCTACCGTACCGAATTAAAGACTCCAAGCTTAGTTGGTGTCTTCAGGCCAACCAGGAAGACTCCATGAGTGCACGGCGTTTTCAGGCCATGCAGAAGGCCCCAGGACTATACAACGTCTTTAGGTCAACGGTTCAGCATGCAGAAGGCCCTGGGACTACGCGACGTCTTCAGGCAAACTGTTCCAACATGGGGAAGAGGGAAGGCTGACTGCTGTTGTTGCACCCGACACAGGCATAATGGTGTCATAATTGGGTACTAATAATGGTTTTGCGCACCAATAATTCATCTAACCGTGGGGCGACAATTTTTTATAAATGGGGGGAGCAACAAGAGTGAGCTAAGAAAAAGAATAGAAGAAATTATCGTTGAAAGAGAATAGGAAAAATAAAAAAGAGAGAAAAAAAGTTCAAACAAAGGAAGAAAAGATTTGAATTTTTTAGTAAGTTTAATGTAAATTTTATTGTTTTGTTTTTTTTGTTTTTATTTTAAATATAAATTAATTAGATTATTTATTTTGATTTTATAGATTAAATTGTATTCGCGTGGTTTGGTAAGTTTAATTTAAATTGTTGTGTAATTTTTTATTTTTATTTTAAATAATAATTATTAGACTATTTATTTTGATTTTACATATTAAGTTGTATTTGAGTAGTTTGGTAAGTTTAATTTAAATTATTTTTTATTTTTTTATTGAGTAATATAAATTATTAGACTTACTATTTTTATTTTAGAGATTAAATCGTATTTAAGTAGTTTGGTAAGTTTATTTTTAAAATTTGTTGTTTAGGGTTTTTATTGTAAATATAAATTAATTAGACTATTTATTTTGATTTTACAAATTAAATTGTATTCGAGTGGTTTGGTAAGTTTAATTTACATTTTCTTGTAATTTTCAATATTTTTTTGTTTTTAATTTAAATTATAATTATTAAACTATTTATTTTGATTTTACATATTAAGTTGTATTTGAGTAGTTTCGTAAGTTTAGTTTAAATTATATTTTTAATTTTTTATTGAGTAATATACATTGTTGGACTATTTATTTTGATTTTACAGATTAAATCGTATTTGAGTGGTTTGGTAAGTTTAGTTTAAATTTTATTATTTTATTATTTGTTTTTTATTGTAAATATAAATTAATTAGACTATTTATTTCGATTTAACATATTTTTTTGTTTAAATTTTCTTTAATTATGATTAATATTATAAATTAAAATATTTAATTTTTTTTATAGATTTATTGAAGCATGACAGAACAAAATTTTCTTTTGAGACTATATGATCGACACATTTCTAGTCATTTGGGAGAAATCGCATTATGATCAAATAATATATTTTATTTGAGAATAATGAATTAATTCTAATTACATGGATTAATAATTGCAGGATGACGAACAATGAGTTATTCGTAGTCAAGTGAACATTTGTAATAAGAATATGAACTTATTGTCCAGAATTTGCAAATGGTGGGCTTTTACAAAGTAACATTTGTAAGAGAATATAAGTTGGTCCCCGGTTTGATCAGTGCATTAATTGAACGGAGGAGACCAAAAACTCATATATTTAATCTTCCATGTGGTGAATGTACGATCACTTTGAAGGGTGTGGCTTTACAACTCGGGGTCCCTACAAATGGAATGACAGCGGTGGGAAAAATGACCAAAACATGTTTGAAATGTATGGGGCTTACCTTGGGAATGTGCCAGAAAAAAATACTTACAAAAGGTTTACGTTTGAGGTTATCATGGTTGGCGAATGAATTTAAGCTCAGTCGTTATAGTACTGAGCAAGACATTATATATGCAACTCGAGTACATATATTATGGTTGATCGGGGAGTCTTGATGCCGAATAAATATGGTAATCTTGTTCATATACAATATCTTCCGTTTTTGGGTAACTTTTTTAATACTCGTCAGTATAGTTGGGAATCGACAATATTGATGTTCTTGTATCGCGAGATGCGCAAGGCGTCATTACTTGTAAATAATACTTGTACGATGGAAATCGATGGATGTCTGATGTTATTACAATCGTGAGCCTGACACAGACTTCCATGGTTAACATCGATTAGCCGAACTGCAGTTGATTTTCTTCTTGCCGAAATATAATATTTTGATTTAAAATATTTGATCTTAAATTAATTAACAATTTTTTTTATAGAAAAAATAATTAATGAATTTTATTTTGATCGGTATACAGATGAAGGCATAAAATAGAAGGAACGGGGTTGGTGCACAATAATGTGAAAGAGTTTAGATTTAAGATGGACATTAAATGCAAAGTTTAGGTATATAATTAATTTATTTAGTTTCTTATATTGTTTATTTATTTAGTTGAATTATAGTATTATTTAACTAATTAATAATTATATAATTTTCTTTTATAGTTTATATGGAGGCCATACAATAATGGATAAATTATATCATGTGTGCTGCAACATGTCTGGGAGGGTTGTCAATATTAGTATGT